TGAAGCATGTGTTTGTTATTACACTACACCTACCCCTTGATAAACTTTGTTTTCTTACCAAGATTAGGATCAACTATGTCACTCTTTATCCGGTTTGTTCTCATCTCCCTAATTTTAATCCCCTATTGTGTTAATTGTTATATTCCTTCCCCCCCTCCTGCCGGTGCTCGTTTTAATATATATTGATTTGAGACAGTAAATGTGTGATCAGATTGTTCGAAATGTATTGCACAAATGCATCACATTGCTCAGATAAACTTCGTCTTCTCATTAGATTTGTTTATTTGATATATAAAGCACAGTGAAACAGTATTATTTACTTCATCACGTTTCCACCATAAATTATATTGCTCATAATCATATCAATGTAATCACACTTCTTTCGAGATCTGATTTTATAGTCCTGTCACCTGATCTCTCTTTGTCTTTTTTGATTGGTAGTAAAGTTTTCCATATCTCTGGTATAGGTGTTGCGTCATTCCTATTACATGTGTTGGGTGTGGATTCGATGAACAAAGATTCAGTAATTAATCTCTCTCTCCACCTAGCTATATTAGACTTAAGTACAGTGGTTTTGTCCCATCCTATTGTGTGGTTGTGTGTTAATGAATGTAATGCAATGGCTGAGTGTTTTTCTAGGTTATTGATCTTATTGGGGTCTGTCGTTCTATGTTTAGCTAAATTCCTATGTTCTGTTAATCTAACTGACCCCGACCGGCTAGTTTGACCTATGTATTTGACTTCACAGTCATTACATGGAATTTGGTAGATTATATTATTTTGCTTAATTGGTTCTATCGGATCTTTTAGCCGACAAAGCTTACCTCTAAGTGAGTTTGTTGGTTTAAATGCCACCCTAATTCCAACCTTGTTGAGAATCCTACGTATGGTTTCTGATGTTCCTTCCTTGTATGGTATCACAATAGAGGTGTTGATTTCCTTTCTACTTATGTTGTCACTATTATTTGTATTTGTATTAGTGTTATTATTTTGCTTCTTATGTGTCCGTGTGAATTTCTTAATAAAATGATGGGGATAATTATTAACGCTTCTTTTATGTGTTTCAATTCCTTATTTAAGTCCTTACAATGACTAGTGAGTTTCTCAGCTCTGTTATTTAGACATTTGACTAAACCCGCTTTAACTGACACTGGATGAGATGACTTGAAGTCTAGATATCTGTTAGAATGTGTTGGTTTTCTGTAGACGGTAGTATCTAAACCACCATCTATCCTTCGTTTTATTCTGCAATCCAACATAGGTAATTCTCCTTGTTCATTTTCTACTTCGTAAGTGAATTGGATTGCGTTAACTACTGAGTTTATGTGTGTCAAGAAACTGTCGATATGTTCCGATTTCAACACTGTAAATGTGTCATCTACATATCGCCACCATATCTTAGGTGTCGGATTATATGTTCGTAAAGCCATATCTTCCCAACTATCCATAAATATATCTGCTACTATAGGGGATATTGGTGATCCCATTGCTACTCCTTCTGTTTGTCTATATATCTTTCCCTGAAACTTGAAGACTGTCGAGGTTAAGCATAACTGCACTCCTAACATGATTTCACCAACCGATGCCTTGGTTCTTTGAGTAAGTTGTGAGTCAGTATCTAGTTGATTTCTGACTGCCTCCAGTGCCATATTGATTGGTATTTTAGTATAAAGACTTGTTACGTCAAAACTAACCATTTTTTCATTCTCTTCTATGTGCAGGTCATTAAGTTTTTGTTTCAACTCGTAAGAATTTACTAGTCTAGAGTTGGAACGGTCTCTAACAGGACGTAATACTGATGCTAAATACTTTGATATCTCATATGTTGGTGTGTTCCGGAAGTCAACTATCGGCCTAATGGGATAACCTGCTTTATGAACCTTAATAGTACCGTAAATTCTGCTAGGATTATTAGTTTTTGGCATTAAAGTAAACCATTCGGACTTACCTAGAGATGGCTTCAGTCGGCGTATCAGATCTGTTGTAGATTTCTTAATTTTATTCATGACAGTATATATAGGTTTCTTAATCTCTTCATATGGCCCTGTTTGGATATGTTCATCCATTTTTTTAAGAGTTACCCTTGTCATATTTAGCAATTACTATACTATTATCCTTTTGTAGATTACGTAAAGCTGAATTTTCAAGTTTCGTTAAGTTTCGCTGTGTCTTCTTTTGTTTTTTTAGTGCGAATACACACTGCACTCTAACTACACAATAGGGTGGGACAAAACCATTGTACTTAAGTCTAATATAGCTAGGTGGAGAAAGAAATTAACCACTGAATCTTTGTTCATCGAATCCACAACCAACATATGTAATAGGAATGACGCAACACCTATACCAGAGATATGGAAAACTTTACTACCAATCAGAAAACAGAGATCAGGTGACAGGACTATAAAATCAGATCTCGAAACTTGTGTGTGATTACATTGATATGATGATTATGAGCAATGATAATTTATGGTGGAAACGTGATGAAGTAAATAATACTGTCTGACTGTGCTTTATATATCAAATAAACAAATCTAATATGGAATTACATTCTACCACAGTGCCCAAGTTTTTCATTTACAGTCATCTCTTATTCTTTATTCCTGTTGTTAGTAAAATTCTCCACATCTCTGGTATACAAAGGTGTTACATCATTCCTGTAATATATGTTGTCTGGGTGTTGATTCGATGAACAAAGATTTAGTAATTAATCTCCATTTCTCTCTCCATCTAATTATATTGGACAGCAGGATTTATCTCACCTTATTGTCCAATTGTGTGTCCGTGTGAATTGATCTTATTCAGGTCACTCATTCAATATTTAGTTAAATTCCCATGTTCTGCTATTCTAATTAAGTCCCAACCGGCTACTTTCACCTATGTACTTGACCTGACACACAGTCATTACATGGAATTTAATAGATTAGATTACTTCGGTCGATTGTTTCTATCTGATCCTTAAGCCAGCCAGCGAAGCTTATCTCTGAATGAGTTTGTTGGTTTAAATGCTACCTGAATCCTAGCTTTGTTGAAGAAAGATCCTACTTATAGTTTCTGATGTATCATCTTTATGTGGTAATACCATGGAGGTTGTGAACTCCATTCTACTTGTGTTGTCATTATTATTTGTACTTGTGTTAGTGTTATCTTTTCGTCTCTTATCTGTTTGTATGCAAGCAAGACAGGCTTTCATTAATTCGAAATCTGTGTGGAGATCTACTGCACTCTACGCAGCACAAAACATCAACAACATCCCGATTTTCAACACTAATCCACTCAAGTCACTGCTGCTATGTGATGATTAACAAACTTGGTGTGTCACCAAAACCACTTCCAATAAACTACAGACATCATACATCAACAGCTGACACCTACGCTCACTCGATACTGAAGATGAGATGAGATGGGCAGAATAATAGGAATAAGCGAGAAGGAACTCTGGTTGGCTGGCTGGCTGGTTGGCTGGCTGGCTGGCTGGCAACGAACCAACGAAGTAAGAATCTATCGTTCAATAAATATGGAGAAGGTGAAAGTGGATATGAGAAAGCCAACAGGGGACATCATGCGTTAGGCCAGTGGGTCGAGTGGAATGCAAATGTGAAATGACGAGTTGGGCGTTCGAGAGGAGTGTGACATGGAGGAGATGATATGAGGAAGAAATGAAAGCTGTTGAGCAGTTGTGGAGAGAGGTTGAAAAGACTGGAGAGAAGAGAGTGGAATGGAGGCGTTCCACTGAATCCCTATGTTCCACTAGGAATCAAAGGGAAAATTAATGATAATGTGTTTGTACGAATTTCTTAATAAACTGTGGTGGGTAATTATTAACTATCAGCGCTTCTTCTACGTGTTTCAATTCCTTGTTTAAGCCCTTGCACTGAATAGTCAGTTTTCTAGCTCTATCATTTAGGCATTTGACTAAACTTGCCTTCACTGATTGATATTGAATGAGATGACTTGAAGACTGGATACCTGTTAGAATGTCTCGGTTTCCTGTAGACGGTAGTATCCAAACCACCATCTGTCCTTCCTAGGTAATTCTTCTTGTTCATTTTCTACCTCCTCATAAGTGAGAATTGGATTGTACGTGCTACTGAGTTAATATGTGTAAGGAAATTGTTGGTTTGCTCCGATTTCAACACAGTGAATGTGTCATCCATATATTGTCACCATAGCTTAGGTCATGAAGTGGATGATACTATATCACTCACCGTGTGTGCAATTACATTCTACCACAGTGTCAAAGTTTTACTCTTATATAAGTTTCTTTTCTAGTTTATCAAGTGGGTAGATATGGTCGACGGAATTCGGTCTACACTCCCGTGACCAATCAATACATGTAAACCACTTCCTACAAGAGGTCAACCGCAGCCTGAACAGCTCAGTGGTAAAGACGCTGTCTACAACACTGGGTGACGTGGGTTCGAACTTCAGGCAGGACATCAGTTCCATCGAAGCTGCAGGTACGCCTTGGTGCCAAGTGCCAGAAGGCACGAAACTTAGGTCCAGGGTTTCCTGCCAATTGCCTCCAACTAACCAATAAGATATTACTTTATTTAATATATATATATATATAAATGAATATCGCCTGATCATTGTTTCAGGTTTCGATATGATTTACGATCTTATCCTAATGATATCTATGATGCAGATTATTTCTTTGTTGTTTTGTTACAGCTATCTAACTCACTTTACATCTTAGGGTATTTTCAAGGCTTTAAGATATATCCGATGTTGGCTTACGAATGTTTTGAAGTAGGATCAGTTCTTTAACATCATAGATTAACCACCTTAAGTCATTGGAAACTTGTTTCTTAGGACACTTTCAACGTAGAGGAAATAACATTATCAATCATTTGAAGATTAGAATGGATACTTTACCATGTCAAGTCTTAGATAATATCAGTGGCTAAATCACTCAGCATTACATAAGATTACAGTACTAGAATATAGCCAAATAGATATAAAAAAGGCAACACTTTGATTTCATCTCGTTTTTTATATAGGTAAAGTTACATGTTCTGATATAACATGTCCAAGAGAAGGTATGAGATGTCGTCCACATCATTTAACTGGTCAACCAATATGTATGGATTGTGCAAAACTTCCATTGGATTGTAATGCATCGTTTCGAAATGGGCCAGAATCAATGTCATCCTCCTCCTCCTCCTCCTCCTCCTCCTCTTCGTCATCATCTTCATCATCATCACAGGAGTTTCTATTAAAAGAAAAACACAAGAATTTGGTGATCCAGTATGGATGACACCAGTTCAAACACATGGTTGGCCTGTTGTTTGTGGATCAAATGGAAAAACTTATCGAAATACATGTTTTCTTCATGTAGTCAACTGTTTAAGTGATAAATTTGTTGAATTAAAGAAACCAGAGTTTTGTAGCGGTAAGTCGAATGAATTTAAACATTTCTTGTTACTTTTGTTAATAGTAAACAAGTAAATAAGTTTTCTCATTGTAGTTTTGTAGTGTGATCAGATTGTTTAATGAGTAAATAGATCAAGGTTAAATGATGCTGATTAGTGTCTTCATTGACCAGTGAAAATAGTCACTACTTTTATTGATTTCAACTTAAAGCTTCAAAAATCATTGTCCTGATACTTATCGATTAGTGTAAGTAGGTGTGGTGATTAGAGTGACTGATACACAACCATGGACTAATGATGAAACATTCATTTTTCAATAAGCTATGACCAATATTTTGTAGGAACAAAGGATAGAATAGCAGTCAACTCTCTACTTCAACTTCATCGACTTGGGAAAGACCTTCGACAGCGTCGACCGCGAAATAATTTAACAGACAGCTGTTTCAACACTACGGTTTCAGTGCCACAAACCTTGATCAACCTCATTTAACAGCATTATATGCTATATGATGATGCTACATCCCGAGTGATCCACAATGGAAAGCTCGATGAGCCATTGAAGTGAAGTGAAGACAGGAAGGAGTAAGACAAGATTGTTGCCTATTACCATCGGTGATCTTCCTGACTGTGGTTAATTGGACTGGATCATGCAACAAACTGTGAGGTGCGAGAAGAGGGGTATACGCTAGCTGGACTGATGAAAAGACAAAGACCCGAGAAGATTTGAATTTCACTGATGATTTATGTCTATTAGAAGATGTATGGCTGAAAACTAACAAGTTAGTAGAAGAGGTGCGGCAGCAAAGAACTACCTACCTACCTACCTATCTACCTACCTACACACCTACACACGTAACTACCTACTTACCGATCTACCTACCTAGACAGCATCATTTCAGCTAAAGGAGACACAGGCATACATGAACATGTCAAAGTCAGACAGCATAGGAAAAACAGCAAGACAGGCCTTCATTAATCTGTAGAGATCAGTGTGGAAATCTACTGCACTGCACTACACTACACTACACAGCATAAAGCGTGAACAACATCCAGATTGTCAACACTCAGTCATTCAAGTCACTGCTTCTATGTGATGTTGAGAGAATTGGTGCACTACAAAAAGCATTTCCAATAAACTCCAGACATACATGAACAGCTAACGCCTATGCTCACTCGATTGTGAAGATCAGATCAGATCAGATGACCAGAATCATAAGAAAAAGCAAGGAGGAACTCATTGTGGCCTGTCAATGAACCAACTAACCAACAACCTGTCGTCCGACAAATATGCATAAGGAGGAAGTGTAGATGGATTGTATTGCATTGGACATACACTGTGAAGACTATACGGGACATTGTGTGTGAGGAGGAAATGAAAGCTTACAACTATTCATGTAGCCAGGTTGAAGAGACTGGTGAGAAGAGAGTGAAATGTCTGTTATCTTTTAATTATCTGGTTATCAAAGTTTATGATACGATAAGTAAAGAAAATAGTCATTTAATGACTGAATACTGGTGAAATAGCCTAGTCTGGTGATGAAACATTCAAGAATATACTTCCTAGATCAGAGAACATTGAGCTAAAAAACATATCTACTTTCTCAACTACCAAACATCATTAAGCTTTTTAACTTCTAAACTAAGTTCTGTCTTTATTTTGGAATGGATATTGAAGTGTATAACAAAAGGTTAAGGTATAGGAGAAGAGTTGGTAACAGTAAATTAACTGCTCATATGAGGAGACAGTTACTCATAGACGGTATTAATGTATATAGATCATGTTACATAATGAATTGACAAGAGTAGAATAATGTGAACCATTGAACCCTAACTTAGTAGATGTGTGATTAATATGTTCACTATGAAATATGAAGGTGTATAATTCGATACTTGGCTGAGTAGTAGATGTCTACTGTTGAAGAGTCTATAATACGATTGAAAACAACTATCCAGTACTCCCTACCATGATTTCAATGGTTCCACAACTGATGAATACTACCTAAAGTATAATTTTCCAATCATTAATAACTTAACTATGCTCTTGGAACTGATTACGTAATCGCATAGTTTTCATTGTTGATTACTATATATCACTTCCAGTAAGATTATAATTGATTACATTTGTCCTGATATATTTAGTTAAACAATAAATAATATATCATATAATGATTATATATTTATATTTCTACTGTCATTTAATCTTTGATCATGTAAATTGAAATATTCACCTGAAATTTGTTTGTCTTAATCAAGGTTAAATATAGCGCAAATTCAATGATCAATCTACACCACTATCGGTTAATGTTGAATAGATCAGAGTTAAGAAATTAGTTGAGGATAAATTTTGTATAACAAAATGAGGTCATTCATTGTAGAGATAACCATAACTATATAACTGTATACAACTATGTGTGTGTGTGTGTGTGTGATAATCATAAATCATGTTTCGAGGTGTTCATTATGTTAAGCGTCAATTATATGTTGAGTGATTCAGGTTATATTCATTGATTTGAATGTGACATAGCAGCACTGACTTGACTGACATTAATGTTGAAATTCCGGATGTTGTTTATACATTGTGTTGCGTGGAGTGCAGTAGATCTCCACACTGATTTTAGATTAATGCAGGAAAGCCTGTCTTGCTTTTCTGATCGTGGCTGACTTTGATATCCTCGTCTGTACGTGTGCCGACTGTAGTTGAAACGATGTTGCCTAGGTAGGTGATAATCAGAGACTATTGCTAACATAATTCACCCTGTTACCCATAAATACTTAGCTAACGACATATTTACATCAAATTGGCTTGATTTTCAATTTTAGGAGTCAGTCTGTAAAGATTTATGGTAATCATGAAATGTTACTTTACTACCTAGTACAGTGTTCCACTTTGATGAGTTTTTAACCCCTTCAATATGATTCAGGGTATAACTTTAAGTCCTTTCAAATATAAATGAAACACACACACACACAGATAGATACACCGAAATTAGTTGGTTATCTTGTCTGTTTTCTTCACTGATGATGTCCAAGAACTCAATATAATAGTCACTTTTTCATTGATTACCTACGCCATTGTACAATATTGGTACAAGTAGATATAAGTGATAACTACATCCTGGTTACTGTCTCTATGACAAAATAAACCAGTTTTTGGAGGCACGACTGCAGTGAAGATGTGTTCAGTACATTATCTTCGTCTAAATTTTATTATTGTCTCGTATCTTCTGGTTATTTAATCACAAATTTCTATCAGTTTTTAGTTTCATCTACCTTGATGTTTTGATATAATGTTTGACTACTTGAAGTGTTTGATTGACTAGCTAACTAATGGTTATTCACTGTCTCCTAGTAGAAGAAATCCTTCGTATGCCAGAATAATAATAATAATATATATCCTTATATTTTAGCGATAAATGGATATTAGTGTTTACAGCTAAATTTAGATAAATCTAACATTCAGACAATAATAGTCGCGTGGTTAACATTTTGACTTAGAAGAGAAATACACGTGATATCTTATTACATCATACTACTCCTGTCTACTATGTAAACATTTTTATCATGATCAATTCAACAGACATTTATCAAGGTCATTCATTGATAAACAATATTGTCCATGAATAGATTACGTCATTCCAAGAAGTTGCATATATAATACAATGATTATCATGCTCTCAAATTGATCTCTATCTTGATTCTAAGTATTTCAAGTAGTTTATGAACTTGTTCAGTTTAGTGATGAAATGAAATAACTATCCAAATTTGGATTATTTCTAACTTTTGTTTGTTGATTTCAAAGTTATGTCTTTATGATAGTGATTACGTAATTCGGTCAGTTGGAAAAAAAGATACTTAACAGTTGATATGAAGAAAGGGATTAATGTCATTTTCTTGACCTTGATGGTAATAGATGTCGTTTTACCATATTATTGAGTGATACAAAGATGTGTGAGCAAGGCGTCTTCACAATTCATACTCTCTCTGTCTCTCTATTTTTTCCTTTGTGTCTCCTTTCAATATTAGGTTATGAAATGTTTCGCTTCATGATAGGAAACATTATAACTTATTCTAACTTGAATTACAGAGACAAGAAAATTTCAATTTCAGTGAGAGACGGGTGAAGACTTATTGATTTCAAGTCGGTATTCATCAGTTGAAGCACTAAATAAGATGATGACATTAGATGATGGTTATATCCTGCTAGAAGTTAGAAATATGAAACATTAGATTCTGACCAAGTAACTGGTCACGGAATCTGGAAGAATGATGGAATGGCACAAAGATCGTTTCTAATATACTACTTAAATGTTGTAACATAGTTATCGAAGTATTCTACAAACTGAGTCTCAACTGACAACATTAGAGTACATTAAGTTGGGCCTAATCGTTAAATGTTTCGTCAGTTCATTTACCTATTCTCATTTGCTACAGACAGACGAACAAAGAGAATAATTCATTTCAGTCATTAATTAATCAGTTGTATCACTAATAGTCGCCCTCCAGTGGAACCAAAAAGTGAAACGATGAGGGTGACATGGAGGAGATCGTGTTAGGAATAAATGAAAGCAACTTCTAGGTTCGTAGTTTAACAGACGGCTTCAGTAGCACGCCTCTATTCCACTCTCTTCTCTGCAATCTTTTCAACCTGGCTCCACCACTGCCCACAAGCTCTCACTTCTTCCTCACAACATCTCCATGTCACCCTCAACTAGGACGCCCAACCCGCTGTTTCCCATTTGCATTCCACTTGAGTATCTGGCCTGACACGTGATGTCCCCGAATGGTCTTCTCAGTGCATGCCCAATTCATCTCCAATTTCCCCTTCTCCATATTTGTTCAGTGATAGGTTCTTACTTCGTTGGTTCGTAGCCAGTCAACCAGAGTTCCTTGTTGTTTATTCTAATTATTCTGGGCATCTGAGCTTCAGTAACGAGCGTAGGTGGCTGTTCATGAATATCCGTAGTTTGTTGGAAGTGCTTTACGTAACGCGCCAAGTCTCTGAACCAAATAGAAGCAGTGA